AAAGTTTTTTACATGATAACTTGTCAAGTAAATTTGAGCAAAATTTGATCTTAAACATGAAGCATTGTTATTAACAAGATTAGTTTGGAAATGTTTAACTAATTCAACTAGTTCAAGTTCATTAGATGCAATTAAGAGGTCAAAAATAATTCCACCATAGATGTATCAAAATAATGTAACAGACTTGTTATTTAGAATTAATATTTTTTATTAAAAAAATAAAAAACAAATAATTACGAAATAATACTTACTTAATAATGATGTCAAATGCTTTAACTGAAATATCACCCAGCTTTAGTACTTTGACACGGTCGTCGTTTACTGGAATTTCATTGAATTTCTTTTCAAAATAAGGACACGGGATAGTAAAACGTAGTAATGAACTTTAAAAATTTTGATTATTAGGTGCTTCACCAACTTCAATTGATACATTATAATCAATGGGAGTCTTCAAGAAGTTGAGTAAAAGTTGAGTAAGGTCGTTTGATAAACGGTCAAGAAATTTAGCAGCCGTTTTTTCGTAAATTAACGTTAAAAAGTATATAGATTTAGCCATTAATTATTTAATTGTTTAATTTTGACAAAATAAGGGATAAACCGCAGCATGTTCTCCATCGTTAATAAAATGTAAAAATTTATTTAAAAAAATATAATAATATTAAGAAATTTGCTATTTTAATTTTAAATAATCTCAAGCTATTATTGTAAATAATTTATTTTTGAAATTTTAAAAATTTCATATTCTTCAACATTAAATGTACTTTTGTCAAAAGAAGGTGGTTTATGAATTCGACTCATATACTCAGCTGAACGAATCGGTTTTTCATACCATTCATCATAGCAATTTTTACTAGTTTTCAAATTATTATTTAAATTAATGTATACCCAAATGAAAACCATCATAATGAATTCAAATGACAACCAATTCCACTAGAAAAGTCCTTTACCCTGCTTAAAATGGAACTTTTCAGATGTGCAGATTTCAACGAAAATGCAAAACTATCTTGTGTCGTTTTCCATATATCCCTATTTTATCCCAATCAAATGGATCATACACTCCAAGAATTTTTTATGTTCCTTCCACTTTTAAACAATAATTGTATTTGAAACTTTATCACAAATTTCATACATAGTTTTGATGTCAAAACCATCTCTAGATACTCTAAAAAGTAATTCAAATTCATATGGAACGTCCATTATGAAATCTAAAGCATGCTCATCAGTAATAATCTGAGGAGATAGTGTATTTCTAGTTGGAAGGATTTTAGTTAAGATTTTTCGAGGTGGCTAAATAATTGAAGAGATGATCTATTAGGTTTCATGAATTTATTATTAATATCAAACTATAGCTTGGATTCAAGAATTTGCTGATAGGGAAAAGCTTGTCCAACACACCTTCGTGAGAAAAACTGAAATATCTAACGTGTGGGAGGCATTGCTTCAAAGTTTGCTTCAAAGGTAACGAAATTATCACTTGTCCATTCTTCAATATTAGTGGGCAGAGTTGTATTTTTAGCTTTACCCCATTGAATTACGTATTCCCAATTTTTACCTTCGTCCAATTGTAAATCATTTTGTTATAGTAACATATTTTTATAAATCAAATATTTTTGGGTAAAGCATATGAATCGAAAACAAGTAGAAAAGCTTTGATTTAATTTTGATTTTAAAAGAATTCACATAAATATAATAACATGCTATTTATCAAATTCAAAAACTAATAAATAATAATTCATTAATTAAATTTTTTAAAAATTTTATATGAGAGAAATAAATACCTTTATAATTGTTTAAAATAATTTTTCAAATAAAATTGACAAGGATACAATCCGAATTAAATTTGAGATAAAAAAGAACCTATGTGATTATGTGATATTATTCAGGTCATTCATATTAATATTGCCTTTTGTTTTTTTGACTGTATTAATATTGCTCCGATATTGCTAATAATTTTCAAACGTAAAGACGCATTAAAAATAAATTTATTGGTTAAATAAAATTCAGTGATATGTGATTAGTAGAACAAAAATCTCATTTGTCTTCACGATTCAATAATTTTAGCCGGTAAAAGAATTCTTAAAACAAAGGTAATAGATAATAAAAATTATCTCCCTTTAATAGATTCTTTTTTTGTACTTAGACTTATTAGAAAAACTAAAAAAAAATGCTAGAAACATACACTTATTGGTTGTGTTCAAATGATTCATCATAATAAATAGATAAAAATTATTAAATAAATAATTTCAATGTAATTTGGATGCGTAATTATTATATAATTGACCGAATTCCGAGCTTCAATTCAAATTGTTTCATTTTATTACAAATTTGCCGAAAATATTTTCTGCTGCCAAAACTGAAAATATTTTCGACGGACTTAATTATTTTCGGCTGTCTTAATTGTTTTCGGCTGACTTAATTATTTTTGGCTGCCGTAATTATTTTTACGCCGAAATTAATTATGGTATTTGCGTTTAAAGTCAAATAACCGTGAAAACTTCTATAAAATTTTTGTAGAAGTTTTCTTGGACGTTTGACTTTGAACACGAATGCCTCGACGAATATCGATGCTACAAAATGAAGCACATTTCATCGTGTATCCAAGAATTAGGGCTTTCGATCTATTATAAAAATATGGTAATAAAAAATCGCATCCTGTTGCGTAAATTGAGAGCAAATTCAAAAAATAGATTTTACATTACAAATATTATATAAATTTAATCATTGATAATTAAAATATAAAAATTATTGTAATAATGCAACAATGATTTTATTAAAAATATATATTGAATTCAAATATTTAAAATAAAAAAAATTATAGTTATAAACAAGAATTAGAAAATAATGTCATAATTCATAATTCTTTAATTTGTTATTATTTAAGTAAAAATAAAAAAAAACCACTGATTTATAATTAATTGCGTCGGTCTAAAATAATTTCGCAACCTAAAATAATTTTGGTAGCCTAGAATATTATTAACAGCTTAAAATATTTTCGGCAACCTAAAATATTTTCATATTTTCGGCTTTTGAAAGCATATGCAAGAATATTTCGGCATTTCGGCATGCCGTAATCCCGCAAGCATAAATAAAGTTATATAAAAAACCTCTATTCCTTATATTCACTGTTTTTTGATCCCAACCGCGTGATTATAGAAAGACTTAACCGAAAGGATTCGCCCAAAGCGGACGGATTTAATTTATCCTTTTTTTTGGAAATCACATGTTCTAAGTGTTGATTATAATTTTTTTTTAAAGGTCGTGTTTTAGATTAAATATTTTATATTAGATTAAAATATTTTATTATTAACCCATCCAGATATTCCATAGGTTATAAACAGATAGAATGTAACCTCATAAACTTATTAGTTCAAGTGTTAAAATCAAATATGCGATTATAAATAAATATATTTATTATATATTTAAAATTATATAAATATGACAAACTTTAAATAATGAGAAATATTATCTCTTTACAAAATCTATTTTATTTGCGGAACTATTAAGTCCATAAGGTTGCACACAAGGATGAAGGATGACGCACAAAGGTATGGTAAATGTAAACAAAAGAGAAAGTATAAAAGTTGTTGCTGTCGGGATTAGTTTCGAACAAGTTCTGAAGTTAGGAACTTTAGATAAAATAAACTTCATTCAGGAGTGGTAAAATAGACTCGACACAACACACTGTAATATTTCTATTGTTGGATGATACTTTACTTTTAAACTGTACCTTTTGTATTTTAATTAACTTATCTTTTGTGTCGTGATTTTGCAAAACATTATTAAATATTATTTGATACTGTGTTAATATTTTTACTCCTCTTTACTCACATTGCCTTTAGATGATTTGAGTATTATTGTGATATTGTTTTTATTTTATTATCTGCTTGAGTTTGACAAGTTAGATGACTGATTGCTTGACCTATTTTCAGATAGAGCGCATTGTTAATAATTTCTGTGATTCAAATTTTGTGATTGATTTGCAAAATTGAGCGAAATACTCTGTACAAATGTGACACTATTTCTTCCACTTTTCTTGCTTCTTTCATTTCTCCGATTTCTTTAACTTCTTCCATTCCTTTTCTTCAATTTCTTAAAAAAAGTATTGCTAACATCCACATTATCAGATAATATAAATTCCATCTGCATGAATTTGTACTACAATAATGAATGATTCCAATTTTATTATATTCACAACATAAATATTGATTATCGAGTTTGACAATTTCGCCTTGAAATGAATATTTATTTATTCAGGGAAGTTATTCTTATTATTATTTGAATTATCAATATTTTTTGATATTTTTTTTTGTATCTATTATTATTATAATTTTATAAAAGCACTTATTATTAAAAATTATTTATAAATTTTTCTGGCATTTAAATGGTAAAAATTTATATTTATAATATATTATTTAAAAAATATTATGATTAATTTTAGAATCTTATATTAGTAATATCCATGCTATAAAATCAACCTCGGAAATTAAAAACTTAATTTGAATATTCCTGAAGTATCATCTATACTGTATAATGTTTTTTTAAAAATAAATTTTAATATAAATATTTTAAAAAATTGACTGGGTTAAATATTATAGACAAGCTTATATTCTTGCATCATTAAATTACGGAGTATGGACCAGTAGTGAAAACAATACAAATGCAGCTGAAGCTGCTCCTTATCAAATCGAGAAAGAAAATAACTTAACTATTATTATCAATAATTAGGTTTTTATCAATATTAATATATTTTTTTTCAAATATTTATTTTTTGCTAATTATATTTATTTCAGTATATAAATGATATTAGAGGATTCGGGATTGATCAAAAGCACTAAAAATTATTAATACACAAAATAAATTTTGGGTTCCTAATTCAAGACGTAAATAATGGAGAAATTAAAAAATGATAAAGTTTTAGAAGAAATAACAAATACTACCAATGAAATGTTAAAGGAAAAGCGAAAACAGAAAATTTAATTAAAAATGTTAAAAAAATTAAAATGGCACTTAAAGAATGTGAACTTCAAATTCTGGCTCAAGAAGTGACAACTAGAAGAGCCAAGGCTGAAGCTGAGACTCTAGGAATAGCTAATTTAAGAAAAAAAACCATTAAGTTTAATATAAATAAATATAGCATGTAATTAATTTTTAATTTTCGGGAAGTCTTTTAAAATGTTTATTTTATTATTTACATATAAAAAATAATAATTTTTAAAGTTAGTATAACGTGATAATAAATTTTATTATATGTTCATACTGTTATTATTATATAAAAGTATTTATGTATAGTTTCGTAATCGTGCATATTAAGATAATTCCCGATAGTACTACCGAAAATCCTATACTAATTTCTGTGTGCGAAACTTTTAAGTGATCAAACATACAAATCACGTTCGTACCACCTGATCGTACTGTACAATCCACCTGATCATACTATACAGCTTTATCTGTATACCACACAATAAGTTAAACAGGAAAAACTTTAAAAACTTTGTTCTCATAAAAATTTATCCAATCATTTATTAATACACAAAAATATATCTGAATTTTACGTGACGTGTTTACTCCGTGAAAAAATGACTACTCATTCTTTAATAAAATTTTTAATTATTTTTAATTATTTTTTATTAATTTGTGTTTCTACAAATGTTCAATTATATGACCGTTTATCACACGACTTTACTCAACTTCTTGAAAGTGGGGGTTTTAATTATGATGTCTCAATTGAAGTTGGTGAAGAAGGTGCCAATATATATAAAGTTCATTCGATCGTTTTGCAATCCCGTAGTCCTTACTTTAAAAATAAATTGAACGAAATTACTTTTAATGCTGATCGTGTCAAAGTATTAAAATTGTCGAATATTTCTGTTAAAGTATTTGATGTCATTATTAAGTAAGTTTAAATATTACTTTAACAGTGAATTTGATTTATCATAAATTTTATATTAATTATATATGTATTATTTAGATATATTTATGGTGGAAAATTTACATTGAAAAAATTGGAAAGTTCGGTCATTTTTGACCTCTTGATTGCTTCTAACGAACTTGAACTAGATGAATTAGTCGGATACCTCCAAACTCACATTATCAAAAATTGTGCTTATTGGTTAAGGCTAAAATTTATTCAAATTTATCGAAAAAGTTATCAAGTCAAAAACCTTGAAATTATTCAAGACTACTGTAATAATATTATAGCTAAGCGACCTAATATTATCTTTGAGTCTGAAGATTTTCATTCTATCCCTGAAGATGCATTAATATCTATTATCAAACGAGATGACCTGCAATTAGAAGAGGTTAAAATTTGGGAATATATGATTCAATGGGGAAAATCTAAAAATCCTAATTTACCTACCAATCTCGATAAATGGACAAGTGACAATTTTTTATCTTTGAAAGAAACTTTGAAACGATGTCTCCCACACATTAGGTATTTTAGCGTTTCTGGGGATGATTTTGTTGAAAAGATTTATCCATATCAACAACTTCTTGAAAATCAGCTTTTTTTAGACATTATCACTTTTAAAATTATGACCCCCAACATGCCAATCTCTTCACTTGTGTTACCACCTCGAAAGCCACTTCTTCCTTCTAAAATTATCACAGATGAACATGCACTAGAAATTTCATCATGGGTTGATAAAAAAGAAACACCCTATATTGAAAATAATCCATATGAATTCAAATTGCTTGTTAGAGGATCCAGAGATGGGTTTGATGTTGAAACTATTTTTAAAATTTGTGACGAAATATCTAATACAGTTATTATTTTGAAAGTGGAAGGTACAGGAGAAATTCTGGGAGGGTATAATCCTCTCGAGTGGGAAAATAATAATAATAATCAATGGAAAAATACAGATAACAGTTTTATATTTTCATTGAAAACTGCAAATCTAAAAAATTCTATTTTAAGTAGAGCGTTGTGGACAAATGATTTTGCCATTTATAATTCTCCAGAGGATTCACATTTGTCTTTTGGCAGAGCTTTACGTTTGCTTGGCAATTTGAAAACCGAGAAAAGATGTTTTTGCTCTGCTTGTACAGGGTATTCTGTACCAATTCGTTCCGATGAATTTATTAGTCCCTCAGAATTCTACGAAGATATTCCTCACAAATTTTTATTTTCAGTTGAAGAATATGAGGTATTCAAGATTTCACCGATAACAACATAATATTCACTTTAATTATGTAATAATAAATATAGTATTAATTTTTTTTTAGTTTTATTTGTATAAATTTTGTTAAATACTCTGAGATAAGAATATATTAGAATAATGATTATGCTCGTTAATCCAACTCTTTCTGAACTTTACTATTTTCTTTTTAAAATCAGTTTTTGATTAACAATATCGATCATTTTGCTTTAAATTTTTTATATTTATTTTTATATAATTCATTATTTTTTTTCTAATATAGCATCGAATAAATTTAATATTATATTCAAAATATTTTATTATCTGGAACATTATTCTTTCTTTGAAATTTTTATTATTTATAACAAAGTGATAATAGCAAATAAAATTTCAATTAAAAAGTTTGGAGTATCAAATAATAAATAAAAAATTAGAATATAAATTGCATTGCTAATTTACCACAACAAATGGTAAAAGCGATGCAATGTTTAAAATAAGGATGCCAGATATCGAACAATCGCATCCAACTTTTGAAAGTGGCGTTAATTATGAATTCTCAATTGAAGTTCAAGTAACATTTTGGGTTAACAACATGTGGCAATTTAGTAAATGAATTAATTTATATATTTTTACAAATTTATTTTTCGAATACTTAATGCGAATAAATCGTGGGTGGTCAAAGTTACTCGATTATTTTGCAATTCCGCAGTTCTAACTTTTAAAAATAAATCAACGAAATTACTTTCAAAGACGATCATGTCAACGTATCAAAGTTGTCAAGTCTTTTTTTTTTTACAAAAAATTAGTTTTCTTTCTTAACATGTAATGCATGCGCAAAACAGAAAAAACCTTGTATTTATGAAAATTTATCCAAATTACATTAAAAGTATAGATAATGCCAAACACAAATACTTGTAAAATTTTACGACCGTTTATCAAATGACCTTACTCAACTACTTAAAAGTGGTGTTTATAGTGATTTCTCGATAAAAGTTTGAGGAGATGCTCCTTTAATTGAGATTTATAAAGTTCACTCGATTATTTTGCAATCGCGCAGTCCTTACTTTAAAAAGAAATTTGACGAAATTACTTTTGAATGTTTTTGTTAAAGTATTTGATGTTATTATCAAGTTAGTTTAAATATTCTTTTAGGAAAAATAATAGCTAATTATTTTGATTATTTTAATTATAATTTTATATTAAATATACATATAGCATTAAGATATTTTACAGCGGAAAAGTTTTATTGGAAAAATTTGAGAATGTTATCATTTTTGGTCTTTTAAATGTTTCCAATGAACTTGAATTGGATTAATTAATTGAGTGCCTCCAAACTCATTTTGTCAATAATAAAGCATCATGGTTAAGACTAAACTTTGCTCAAGTTTGTCGAACAAGGTATTAAGTCAAATGCTTTAAATTATTCGAGACTTTTGCGACGATATTATTGCCAAGTATCCTAATACTATTTTCGAATCTGGAAATTTTCATTCACTCCCTGAAGATGCTTTAATTTCTATTCTTAAACAGGATAACTTGCAATTAAAAGAAAGTAAAATTTGGGAATATACTTGAATGGGGAAAAGTAAAAATCCGCTTTACTTACTAATCTCCATGAAATTTTAATAACCGAAAATTTCCAGAGATTTCGGGTGTTTTTCGATTTCGCTCGCGATTCATGAAACGTAGATCAATTTTCTACTAATATATTCCTAAGATAGAAAGAAAGGCCTTATTCTTGGCTACAAAATAATATGTATTTCATCCTTGTGGCTGTAATTTTTATGGAGTTATTGCAGTTAAAAGAAAACGCCCGTGAAAAAATCGTACGAAAATTTCCGTAAGATTTGTATGGTTTTTCACGGACGTTTTTCTTTAAACCACGATAACTCCAAAATATCGCTGCTACTGGAATGAAATACATAGTATTTTGTGGCCAATAAAAAGGCCTCCTTTCTTTCTATTTTAGAAATATCTTAGTAGAAAATCGTTCTACGCTTCATAAATCACGAGCGAAGTCGAAAAAACGTAAAAACGCGAAAATTTCCGGTGATTTTTCGACCTTTATGAAACGTAAAGCGATTTTCTACTAAAATACTTCCGAGATAGAAAGAAAGGCTAAGTCTTAACTACAAAAATTATATTTATTTCATCTAGTTAGCATTGATATTTGCAGAGTTATTGTAGTCTAAAGAAAAACGTCCGTGGAAAATCATGTGCGAAGATTTGCGAAAATTTTCGTACGATTTTTTTCACGGACGTTTTTCTTTAAACGGTAATAACTCCACGAATATCGCTGCTACTGGAATAAATACATAATATTTCGTAGCCAAGAACAAGGTCCCGCTTTCTGTCTTAGAAATACCTTAGTATTGAGGTGGCACGAATGCCACGGGGAACGCTGTACGAGGATTACGGAAGGTTACGAATGTCACGAGAGATGGTAG